CAGGTCTATTGTTAGCCTTCAGTTTTTTCTCAATAGCTTAGGCAGTTTTTTTTTTTTTTTTTTTTAAACCTTGCAAACACTCTCCTACTTAGGTATTTGATTTGTCAGAACCGCTTAGAATACAACACAATGCTCTAGTCCATCCAAAATCAAATAAACTTATCCCAAATCTTTGGCTCATGTTTCTATAGTTAATCCATATGTCAATGAATACAGTAAATCAGGCCCATTAAAATGAAATGTTCCATTAGCATTGTGAAAGTTACGGTTTTAAAAATGTGGGATTCCTAATAGTTAAGTGCTTGACATATTTTGACAAATGTATGAACTAATGTGCACTGAATGATGTGAACAGTAAAATCATTGCTAAATGCTGTGAAATAAGACTGTTTCACGGAAAAGAAACGCACAATAATTATTCAAATTGTAGACGAGTGAAATTTTCTGAAATGTGTTAAATAATTGCTATTTGTTGGAAAAGACTGAGAAATTACTGCCAGTCTTCATAACCTCCTGGCATAAATGACTGTCTCAAGGAGTAGGTCAGTCAGTTGCCATATAAACAGTATTTTCAGCACTCCCTATACAAAGACTAAAACCAACAATGAACTGCTTCTACTCACTGTTAATGGCTGTCAGTCCTGAATCAGCTTATTCATCTGTGCCAAAAAATCTCCACTGTTGTTCAGAAATGATTAAAAACTCATCAGGGAAATACACCACTGACATGTTTCCTCATTACACCCTGATTTTTGTTAGGAATATCCAGAGTTCTTGTGCATGGACATTTGTCTCTTGCTTATTTTGGATGCTGTAAAACGTTATTGCCGTTTGGAGCCTTTGAGGGAACATTTAAAAAAATCAAATATTAGGGTCCAGTGTTTTGTAATGAAGAGACATGTAACCCATTGCAGCAGTGTGGTTCCCTGATGTGTTTTAAATCATTTTTGAACATCAGTGGAGGTCTATGACACAGACAAATAAGCTAATCCATGAGTGACCGACATTAACTGTGAGTTGAGAAACTCGTTACTGGTTGGGGAGTGTTGAAAATACTGTTAATATAGAAAATGACAGGTGTTATCCTTTTAAGACAACTGCTGATGAGTTAAATGTCATTGAAGTTAATCCTTCTCATAAAGAACTGTGCTGCACTGAAAATGATTAAAACCTAAACTTGTGGAACAGTTTTTTTCTTGATGTTTCTTTGTTACTTCCCTGACTTTGTCTAATTTGTCTGACGCAGTAAACCCAGCCTGTGCATCATGCTGGTATATTAGGCAGGGAGACCATGTTACAGCTGCTGGACCTGGGTTCAAACCTCAGCAATAGGACCTTTTGAACTTCAGGACCTTTGATCCTCAGGAGGATCCACAGAAAAGCACCGCCACTGTAATGCTAGTATTTGTTCTATCTGGATCTTTATTTCCACTTCAGAGCATCACTGGTGAAGTAAAACCATCTTGTCAAGTCATTTAGCAGCTTTTCCTGAGCTCTTTGTAGGATATTCTCAGTTCTGTGACCTTTAAAAAATAGGGCACAGACTTGAAACAAGCTAAGATCTCCCACCACCATTTAAACCTTTACCAGTTTTTCAAAGTAGCAATGAAATCCTCTTTCATATTTACATAAATTTTTGGATGACATTGCCTGTCTTATCACAGCCAATGCTTCTCTTTCACACTTCAAACGCCTACAAACAATTTCTAGTCCATGTTTCAGTTCAAGATGACAGCATCCTCCTGGGAAAATCAATTTATAGCAAAGTACTATAATTGTAGAACACAATCAGTATGAACACAGTTGTGAGGAAGATTAGACCTGTACAAAGAAATTCATAGAAAGACCAGAAAACGTCTAAATGCTAACTTGTATATTATAATCTTATCATTGTGTTCTTTTTAGTTGTTGTTTGGAAATGTTTGCATTATTACAGCTTCTCTCAGTGTTTCCTCTTCTTTTTGAATATGCTAGCAGGAGGTGAGATTCAAAATTCAGAAAAAATAACAACTCAAACAAAATAATACATTAAACCAGTCCATGAGCAATGAAAAGAATACCCTGCACATATCCTATGTTGATTTAATAATTTCTGAAAGCAGAAACATATAGATTCAAAATGAGTGACGACAAGGCATTCAATTTTAATTAGACTCTAGGAGCATCATTTATCATTCACTGTAGCAACAGAAATATTAATGGTTATTTATTGGATTTTCTAGATTATCGCAAACTCAAAATAGTAGTACTTCTCAGATTTTTTCTTTAATTCCAATAATATTTGAGGTGTTTTTTTCACTTTTACACAAGTAAATGAGGGCAAAATATTTCAGAAAATCAGTTGCAACAAATGTTTAACTTCTTCCAGAAAACAGGGTGAATGGAAATTCTCTGGTAAATGAAATTTTGTTTAGGATTAAGCAAGACCTCATTTGATTAGAGGTCCTATTCATGAAACAAGTTCATTTTTCCCAGCTAACCACTGGCATTTTTATAGGCCAAGTTTGTGACTCTACATATTCAGTAACTTTATTTTATAAGTCAGTTAGACTTATAAATTCATAGAGTCCGGGAAGTTTGCATCCTATTTATCCACATTGGAGGAGCACAAAGCAATGATGGATATCATGAAAACAATGTGAAGTTTGATCCCCTGCAGAGAGCTCAAGCCATTCTCTCTGAACTCCAAGCACAAACATCAGAGGATGAATTTCCATCACCATAATACAAATTGGCCTGCCTTTAATAGTTGATGCAAGCTGATGTGAGGCTTGTTGTCCAAAAGGCTGCTCATCTGATAATGATGAGCAATTAGAGAATTACTGATGTTTTGGATGAAAGCTAGGTAATGTGCCACACAGCTTCAGTCATAATGATGTTTCACAGCCTAAATAAGAGCAGATCCAAAACTTCGAATGGTAATAGTTACTATAGCAAGGCTTTTCTGGATGCTGTTCAAGCTAGAACTGTCTGTCAATATATCAATAATTGTAGTGGCCTTCGGCATGTCAGTCACATATCAAATTAAACCTCACTGGTAAGAAAACACACTTTTCCCCAACTGTTTTTTCAACATACAATTCAAACACAATATCCATCCAATATTGTCAATAATAACCAATATCACAGTATCCAGTGAATCACTGACCTCAGTTTTAACATGCTATGAGTGACAAAACGGTAAAGTAAGACAATAAGAAGCATCTTTCTTTCAAAATCAGTGGAATTCATGCAGTGAGCAAGGCCATATATCTTTTTAAAGCTATTATCCTTGTGAGCTATTACAGTTGATACTTCCTTTAGCACAACACTTTGCAACAGCTGTAACTGGTATCCAACAGGAAGCTTAGGAGGTGGTATACACCACTACACTATACAGTTTTTGTGCAGTCAGGTTGGCCAACAGCAATGTACCATAGTGTATCTCACTTTGCAGTCAACCTTCCCTCCTGACTTTGACAAAATTCTTGTTCAAAACCGTATAGACTTTCTCTTTTTTAATGTTTGATATGAATTTCCTTCAACAGAAATTTAGTTTGTACAAATGACTGGCAGTAGCACAGAAATTATCACATATAATTTATCTGAGAAAAATCTGGCCTGTAGCTCCAAATTCCCATAATGTACTTCATCTACAGAGGCTCAAAAGAGCACTTGGTCAATATCTCTGACTTGGTTATTACTTTGGGTAGGCGTGAAGATTTCCTGCACTGAGAATGTGATTTTTAATATCTTATTGTTAAACTTTGTTCTGTTTCATACCTTACAAATAAACTGTGCCAGAGTTGCTTTTTTTGTTTGTTTGTTTGTTTGTTTGTGGATTCTGCTTCTTTGACCACTTGTGAAGCTCAATTCTGTCATAAATGACACTGTCCTTGCAGTTGCACATTGTGGCTCAGTCCAACATGGGGACATTCTTCCTGTTCAGTTCATATGCCGTGTCCATGATCAGTGTATCATGCAATTTCCTTTAAAAAGCTGTTGAAAGTGTAATATAAGCCACAAGTTGAGATAGTCTTGAAAAAAGATATTCTCAGTGGTTAAACATTATAAATGTGTAAGACAAATCACCGTCAAATGTCATCACAATCAGCTTATGAAGTTTCAGTCGGCCTTATTGGTTAGGTTAGTCCTGGCAGGACTGAAGTAAAGGGATACAAAGTCTAATGAGAACAGTGAGAATTCACAGTCTGTCACAGCTATACTAAAAATACTAGGTATCTACTCATGCATGTTGCTATTTGTACTCTCATGTAATTGCTGATTTTAAAAACTACTTATTTGCATTCAGTTTTGTCTATATATGCACTTTAATTTCTCTCTGTGCAGCTTGTTTGCATTTTAATGGTTTATACATCTGTGTGCATTGTGTTAAGCACTTTGAATTGCCTTTGTGTATGAAAATGTGCTATCTAAATAAACTTGCCGTACCTTATTGTATTGCAATGACAATAGAGCAATGTCAGCTAGCAGAAGTCTTTAATAGGAGATGTGGTTTACTTGGAACATTTTGCCCATTTTTTCTCAGACTGATTGAAAACTTTTCTTGAATGTAAACAAATAAAAGTGTACACCTGAAAAAAATGATATCCATATTTTGTTACTGATACTGAGATGATCTCTTGTGTGTCCTTAAGTGAAACCGTTTCTTCCAATTTCTGCATCAAACTATCACATTATACAAAGTTTGGAAATTGGGAATGTGGAAAGCCTCTGTGAATAATGCATGCATTACCTTAACTGATGGGCACTAAAAACTTATGGCTGCACCTATCTCTACCATCATGTCACTGGATCAATAAAAGCATTAAATACTACTTCTATGCACTATATAAATAGTTTGAACTGCAACAATAAATAATCTTCAAACAGATGCAGGATCAAAAATGACAACAGGGAATAAACTGAAACTCACTAGGATGTTTTTCATCCATGCATCTAAAATACTGTGAGGCCAACCAGTCAGGTAAAAACATTTTATTACATTTTTCACAGAATGTAAAAACATTTTTAATTAATCAGGTATTTAAATATCAATCATTTTTAAACTTAAAAAAAAAGGCCTTGCCATCACACAGCTAAGCCAAACCATCACTTGGGCCGACATCACCACAGCTGCTCTAAATGACCAATCACTCCTTTATAGACAGCCTGAGGAATGCAGTACCATTACACTGTAACCAGTTCCACCTGAGCTGAATGGCCCTTTGATAGCATGCATTGGCTAATGAACTCTAGCTGCAGCACGGTAACAGATTTAACACTGTACTCTGACTTAGACAACCTGCAGAACAAATTAACGGAAAGTGTTTCTCAAGGTCCTGGATTTAATGGCCCTGTCAAAATAATGACACTGTGCACAAAAAAGGCATTTGTTACAGACAGACACCTGTTGCAGGGGAAAAAGTGTATAAGGTCTAATTGAGACAAAACCTTCATTTGAGATTAGAAAACATTATCGGTGATCAAGTCTTAATTATAATTAGGCAATAGAGTTAGGAATCAAAATACTAAAAAAATAAAGGATTGTGACAGAGTAAGAACCCAAAACTGAGAAAAAAAAAAACATCAATAATAACTGCAGAGTAATACTAAATGATTTGACAGTAACCAGATGTACTTCTTATTTCAACAACTTGAAAATACAAAACATACAATATGCAAAAGAAATGGAAAAGTTCTTCCCACAGACACTTAAATGACAGACATGCAGTAATGCACTTAGATGGATTTCACCAAATGCAGTAGACCTGCTTGCAAACAGATGGTCCAGACACCAGGAGATTGACTTTAGTGGTTACAGTGGTCATGTAGCAGATTCTACAGTTAAAACACTGCACCTCTAACTGCTCATTAACTGTATGATGAAAACAGTCAGCTAAAAAGCTGAAAGCTAAATTTACTAGTCAGTTACCAAGACAGACATTTTTGTATTCCATAATCATTTTCTACAGCAGCCACTCTGTGGTCTCATTTTAAGCAAATTCTCAAACATTAATGACCAGCTTGATTTAAATGCTGAGGTTGCTGGCCAGCTGTGGACAGGCTTATAGCTAGCCCAAGCTGTGTGCATTCAGTGAAGTGTTCTGACTCTACACTATGAATGGCTTGAACCAAAACTGCTTGGAAGGTTTCATCCATACTGTAATTTAGAAAACAGGTGTTTAGGAGAAACATTCAGAAACTGTTCTTCTCTCTAACCACATATACCTCTGAACTTCGAGGGTCTTTAACCACGTCACCTTTGTGAGGTGGTTTAGCTTTAACCAAAGACACTGTACAAAAAAAAACAGTCCAGTTGCTCAGAATTCAGTCTGAGTTACAGTAAGAGGAAGCCTCACGACATGTCTCTAGAGACCTTTACATTAGACACTGAAGGCAGTGTTTCAGTATATAAAATCTTTACAGTGAGCGCCATGTCCATTTTCTGCGTGGCACAGTGAGCTCTGGTGGGCTTCTGTGGTAAAGCAGCAGCAGCACTAGCAACGCCATTGCTACCTTGATGCATCAGGGATGAGTCTCTTAAACCAATGGCCCACGGCCACGTCTACCCTCAACACTAATGTGACCCCGATCATCAGGAACACGCTGCTCACCAGGAACCCTGAGGACTCAAACATTAACCTAGAAGGGGAAGAAAAAAAACGAGGTGATACAACTATACAATTTCTTTCTCAAACCCTAGAAATCTGAAATGTTCTATATTTTCATGTAAGCAGTTAAAATTGTACATTAAATTAGCAGCAAATGTTTTGAAGAATTAAAATAATTTGTAAACAAGGCATTTCAATATTCTTAACAGTATAAAAAAAATATAGAGCTTTCAGATGTAAATATTTATATTATACTGTGTCCATTTCCTCAAAAGCATTTACTGTCACTGACTTTGTGTGAGCTGGAAAATCAATTCAGGTACTTACTTGGGTGCGAAAACCTTCCACACCATTAGGTGTCTCCTGAGGATAGCAGCTGCACAGACTGAAGCAAAGACCTGCCAGGAGAGCAGAGATACTTCAGTCAAAAGCTGTAAATAAATAAAATAAAACACAGTGGGTACGGAAAGTATTCAGACCCCCTTAAATTTTTCACTTTTTGTTATATTGCAGCCATATGCTAAAAACCTTTAAGTTCATTTTTCCTCATTAATGTACACACTGCACCCCATATTGACAGAAAAACACCGAATTTTTTACATTTTTGCAGATTTATTAAAAAAGAAAAACTGAAATATCACATGGTCATAAGTATTCAGACCCTTTGCTCAGTATTTAGTAGAAGCACCCTTTTGAGCTAATACAGCCATGAGTCTTTTTGGGAATGATGCAACAAGTTTTTCACACCTGCATTTGGGGATCCTCTGCCATTCCTCCTTGCAGATCCTCTCCAGTTCTGTAAGGTTGGATGGTAAACGTTGGTGGACAGCCATTTTCAGGTCTCTCCAGAGATGCTCAATGGGGTTTAAGTCAGGGCTCTGGCTGGGCCATTCAAGAACAGTCACAGAGTTGTTGTAAAGCCACTCCTTC